CCACCCGGGACGGGCCCGGTTCTGAAAAATGATGAACCGTGAACCGCCGGGCCGGCCCGGCGGTTCACCCGGATTAAAAAAAAAAAAAAAAAAATTCAAAAAAAAGTGAATAACGGCCGGTTGAACCGGCCCGAACCGGCCCGGGTGAACCGGCCCGAACCGGCCCGGGTGAACCGGCCCGGGTGAACCGGCCCGGGTGAACCGGCCGTTATTCACTTTTTTTTGAATTTTTTTTCCCCCCCAATTTTTCCTATAAATACCCTCACACCCCAATTTTGTTTTTTTTGAATTTCTTTTGCCCCCAACCCCCCCAATTTTTCCTATAAAACCCTCACACCCCAATTTTTCCTATAATTTACTTATTCATCAAATATTTCAAACTTGTGCTTCTAAATTGACTTTTAATTTATTTCCTTTTCCTTTATCTATTTAAAAGTATTTCTTTTAATTTACTTATTCATTAAATATTTCAAAAAAAAAAAAAAAAAAAAAAATTCAAAATTTTCGGGCCGACCCGGAACCGGCCCGGTTAGGCCCGTGAACCGGCCCGAACCGGCGGGCCGACCCGGCCCGGTGAACCGTGCACGCCACGGGCCGGTTCCGGTTCCGGAAAATGTGAACCGTAAACCGGTCCGAACCGGCCCGAACCGGCCCGTGGCCGTGTCTAACATATAGTACGCATTAAAAATGGTAATAGAATTATCATTGTGCTAAAATATGAGTTCATCAAAATGAGTTTCAAGAAAAATAAATATATTGGCCATCCAATTGACATAGCAATGAGCTCCTCATCAAAGTGTCGCATACGTAAAACTCCATTTATGCTCAAAGTGAACCTTTGTTTTGATTTTACATAGTAGGTAAATAAAATGTATATAGCCTATAGGGTTAATTTCATTTGCATCCCCCTAGATACTGAAATTGCACATTCTCTCCCTATTAGTAAAGGAATTATTCATACATATCAAGTTAGTTGTTTCTACTCACAATGCTAAGATAATGGGTAAATTGTCATTTTTTACCTTCATTTTTGCAAAAAAAACAAAAAAATATTTTTTTTATAAAAGGCATAAAATGTGAAGTGATTAATGTGTTCTTTCTCACTTAAAAATAGTACAAAATCCACCATGAATCTCAATTCCCTACCCAAATTACACAAATCTGAGTCCAAATCATAAAATCTCGTTCAACCATGCAATATCATCATGAGTCGATGATGAATTAACATAAATAGCAATTCCCACTCTAAATGTTCAAAGCCCATCGTAATTTGCACTTCAATCTCTTGTAAATACACTACTCAATCATAATTGGGGTTTAATAGCGAATAAACACGATACCCATACGAAATTCGCACACAAAACAAGAAAAACCAGCCTCAAATGACTCCTCGAAATTGAAGATTGAGTGAGTAAATAGATTTTAGATTGAATTATGTGTTTAGGGTTTGAGGATTTGGCTCATAATTACGTATATACCCTGAAAAGACAAAAGTGCCCATCAAGTGAACGGAAAGACATAATTATGTGTTTAGGGTTTAGGGTTTATCAAAATCCACTACATATTTATCGAAACCCACTACATATTTATCGAAATCCGCTATATAATTGTCGAAATCCACTATAAATTTATCGAAATCCGCTATAAATTTATCGAAATATACTATAAATTTATCGAAATCCACTATAAATTTATCGAAATCCACTATAAATTTATCGAATTCCGCTATAAATTTATCGAAATCCGCTATAAATTTATCGAAATATACTATAAATTTATCGAAATCCACCTTAAAATTATCGAAATCCACTATGAAATTAATTTAATCGAAATATAAAATTAACGTAATCCACACTACAAATTTATCGGAATCCACTATATCATTAACATCACCCATTACAAAAAAATAGTCCGACGTAAACCAGTAATAAAAAAACGTAAATCCACTATTAAATTAACGCAAATCCACTACTAAATAAAATTCACTATTAACGTATACGAACAAGAAAAAATAAAACGACTAAACATTTACCAAAAACAACAAAACCACTAGGTCCAAGTCATCCCAAACAAATTCAAGATTATCGCTAATCATTGCAATTAGCCCCCGCCGGAGGATCATTATGTAACATTTAATAATTAAACAAATGAAACAATCGACGTGAGTCCTTATCGTTGACTTACCCATTTTTATTATACCGACATTATATTGTTTGTTCCAATTAAAATTCTGCATTAAGAAATAGAAAACAAGTACAGCTTCATTCATGGAGGGCAATGATTTATTCATCTCCCAAAAATGTTAGGCGGCGCCAGGTGGGGAGAGAAGAAGAGTTGATCGGAAGGAGAGATGCAACCGTGAATAGAAAAAAGAAAAGAAAAAATAAAATCTAGAGAGACAAAAAGGTCTGTGGAGCGGGATTTGTGGGTGTGATTGGGAACGTAATATTAAAGAAACAAATATTAGGTATATTTATAATAAGGTAAGCTTAATTAATTTTTATTAATAAAAGATATTTTTGATTTATCTTAAAATTAAGAAATAAATTTGGGATCATTGTAATTGTAGTTACGTGATGAAGGGGTTTTGACAAATAATCCCTATATATACACAGATAACTTTAAATTCTTACAGCAGTCAACCTAGTTTCCAATAGTTGTCGGTGCTGACATGGCTCCGTACGTGGTCTCTCTGTTTTCCCGAAAAGGTGCCGTCGGAGTTTCCAATTGGATTTCTCGAAAAGGTGCCGTTGGGGTTTCAAGCTTGATTTCTCGGAGATGTGGTTTTTTCCGTTCTCCGATCAGCACTCTGAGCGTCTCAGACGAATCCCTCCGTTCTCCGTCAAGTTTGCCCTCTAAGATCTCACCGTGGCTCATGCTACCACCCACAGCCGCCGGCAGCGGCTGCGTGGTTCACAAGTTCTACAGCATCGCCGAGAACAGGGTACTGTGCTTCGCCGGGGAAGCAAAATTAGGGTTTCCCGACGGCGACACCGAATTGGTGGGATCTTCGCACGGGTGGCTAGCTTTGTCGAACAAACGCAACAACGATCTGTTCCTGACGAATCCCCTCTCCCGCCGCCGCGTGAATCTCCCTCCGATCCACAAATTGCCGATCGAAGAACAACACTTGTCGCGCGAAGATTTCAGTTGCGTGCACAATGTAATCATCTCGTGCTCTCCCAACGAAGAAAACTGCCGCGCAATGATGATTATCAAGGCGGGATATGCCCTAGCTTTCTGCTGCCCCGGACTCAGCACCGCCGAGTGGACTCCGATCGGCACTCACACGTCGGACAACACGACGTCAGATGTTACAGGTCCATTATCTACTCCGCCACGCATAAATTATTCTTCTGCCTCATCGACCGCCGCATATTCGATACGTTCGAGGCGTGGGACCTCCGGGATCCGGACTCTCCGACGATGATTCCGATGGATTACCCCGTCATCTGGCTACATTCGGAGGAGGACGACCAAAGGAACGAGTTTTGCCACACGGAGAATTCCCTAGTGGAATATTCCGGCGAGCTTTTTTTTGTAGAACGATTCATTGCCGAATCCGTGGACTCCAATGGCTGCGCTTTCGATACCCATCTCTGCTACTCTCCAAAGAAGGGGTGGGATGATAGTAGACCTTACAAAACAATGAACTTCAATGTTTATAAATTCGATCCGGAGAGTAGATCTTTTAGGTTCATGGATAGCTCGTTGGACGGTCTCGTGTTTTTTATCGGTAGAAATCACGCTTTTGCCATCGCCGCCGCCAGCGAATATCCGGAATTGAAAGCGGATTCGATTTACTACACGGATGTTACCAACACTAGCTACGCTATACAAAAGATTGACTACGGTGGGCACGACATCGGCATTTTTAGTTACAAGGATCGTACTTTCTCCCCGTGCTATTATCCGTGTGATGTCAAGGGCATAAAAGTAATTACGCCGTATCCAATCTGGTACACTCCAACCCCACTCTAGTTCTCATGATTAATCACTAGGCTCAGGCATAAGGTAGTCTGATTGTCACTTCATTTTTTTATTTTTTATTTTTTATTTTTTGCAAGAATAAAGCACTGTTATCTTTTGGAGGATTTTTGCAATTTGGAATAATGGAATAAGGCTTTTGTTATGGTAATTACTTTTATGCCAATTAGAGTTGAAATTCACACACAACGGTTGAATGTCAGTTCTCGATTATAAGATTTTGCACCAACTTACATTTTATGAAATCAGTTGAGCTATATACCTATATATATATATATATATATATATATATATATATATATATATATATATATATTCCTTCGAGAGTCTATTAGATAATTTTTATGGATTCTGTCATTTTACTGATTCGTACTAAATACCGAGCTAATGAATCCCCTTCCTTTTACATTGAATCTCCCAATCCAATTCATCGTAACACTCGTAACGATCAACTTTACGAAGATTCCATTTTCTTCCAGAAGCTCGTAGCATTGGCCCTGATAAACCCATATTTGGTGCTTTTTCCGAGCCCATAATGCCTACGCCTTCAAACTCAATATACCTTAATAAACCTGAAAAATAGCAAATTTCATTTTTAACTGTCAGAGAGACGTATTTGACCTAAATACTCTCTTATAACCCCCAATTTAGTGCTTTTTCTAAGACCTGAAAAATAGCAAATAGCAAATTTCATTTTTAACTATCAAAGAGACAATAATGCCTACGCGAAAAGGGTTAGACCCGTCGGGTCAACCCAGATTTTGGGTTTTTTGTGTCCAAACATTGGGTAGGGGATTTGAACTCGGGTAAAATGGGCAGAATTAGGCAACTCTAACCATTGGGGCAACGAACATATTTAATTAAATATAGCAATAAATATATATAATATAAAACGCTTGGGTAAAATGATAAGTATGTTAAATAAATTATTGATTTTCACATTAATTATTATTGATTAATTTCAATTAAATTATTAACAAATGCAATATAAGAATTTTTTAAATATATATAGAATCACGGTTTAATACTTCAAAACATCTATTATTAATTACTATATCAATAAATCTCCACTATTGAAAAATATAAGGTATTGAATCAATTCAATATATAAAGAAACGCGTTGACTTAATACAAACTCACTTGTGTTATTAAAATCGATAGTGTGAAAAATTCGAATGAAAAATAAAAAATAAGATGATTATTTTAAAAAAATAGATTATAACTCATTTCAATTAATTTAAATTGATTAACCTCAATTGTTGACAATTAAAATTATTGATTATTTTATTATAAGATAATTATTTAAATTATAGATGATGTTTATTTTAACAAAAATAGATTATATTTCATTCTAATTAATTTTTTACTTTAAAAATAAAACTATTATAATCATTTTACACCTTTTGTTTATGTTATATATATATTCCTTGTTATAATAATCCTAACTATAAATATATAAATATAAATAACATTGTAAAATGATTATAATAATTGTATAATTAATTTTCTTAAAATTGCAGAGGTGAAGTTGCTGTCAAAAGTAAAGCATGAAAATCTTGTCGGACTTGTGGGGTTCTGTGAAGGAAATGGTAAAGGTTAGGAATTTATCGAAAATTAATTAGATCATCTATTTAATTTATACTCACTAAAAAGTATGTCTTAAATACTTTATTTTGATCATTAGGAAAGGGAGGAAGTATTTTAACTTGGAGGGAAAGAGTAAATATAGCCATTGGAGCAGCTAAAGGTAGGTTCTTGATTATCCTCCAATATCATCGATCACTATTAATTAACAATATTTTCTTCGTAAACGAATTAAATTACATTTTCAAATTGTTGCCAATATGTATTAGGGATAGCCCATCTGCACGAAGAGATTAGTCCGAGTATAATCCACCGTGATATAAAACCGAGTAATATATTAATCGGAGATGGATTTGAGGCCAAGGTATCAGATTTTGGGCTCGTTCGATCGGGTCCAGACGGGGATAAATCACACGTTACGAGTCAGTTAAAAGGGACACCTGGCTATATGGATCCCGCTTATTGTTCGAGCTTCCATTTGACTCCGTTTACCGATGTGTATAGTTTTGGAGTGATACTTCTTCAGCTTGTTACTGCTAGGCCTGCAGTCGAGTCTAGTAGGAGTAGTACCCATTCTCATATCATTCATTGGGTAAGTCGCAATTTTTGATAAAAATATTTTATTTTATGTGAATTAATTTAAAGGGTTTATTGTTAAGCAGCTCAAGATTCGATTTTTTTTTTTTACCTTCAAAAAATTAAGATCGTTAAGCTCGAATGTGTAGAAAATTACTTGAGCTTGAGCTCTCCAAAATGAACCAGTTCAACTCGAACTCGACTCGTTCACACTCCTATATATAAAAAATACATCGTGTAAGAAGGACGTACATAATTCATTACACATGATAATTTGCAGGCAAGCCCTAGCATCGAGAAAGGTAGGGTTGAAGACATAATCGATACAAATCTTCTAGTACAAGGGTGCAACATGGAAATAATGCTAAAAATCGGACAACTTGGTCTTAGATGTGTGGTGAAAGAGCCCAAAGAAAGGCCTACAATGACACAAGTGTGGCAAGAACTCGAACAAGCCCTAGAATCGGTCGACGGCTTATTATTACCAATCGCGAGTGTTGGCCGAAAACCTACACGCAAGTGCACGTATCGTACAAGTAATATAGTGGACAATTAAGTCCGGATATCGAACCCACATGGAATAGTTAATTACTTAATCCTAGACGCTAAATTCTACCAATTATTATCAAGTCCACCCTCCACAGTCGACTTTAGAGAGAATTAACTAAAATAAATTAAAAAGCAAATTAAAACGACAAAGCAAGAAAGACAATTAAACACGAAGATTTATCAGCGTAAACAAGCCTAGGATTTTATTCTCCCCCCTATGTGATTATTATTCCCCCAATTCCTTCAATTATGCAAGTAATTAACCCGGATTATTAGCCTGAGATGCTTAAACAATCATAACCCGCTTCCGCGTGTATTACGATTCTAATACTCTAGATTCAATTACTATATTCCTATGCAATTAATTTTAGAACACAACATTAAGCACAAATCTCAATAATGGCTACCTAAGAGATTAACTATATCCTATGTTAATACCACAAAGGCTCTTCTACCACAGTTCTAATTATTAACCCGATCTTCCGATTCATGGGATTAACAATAACAGAAAAGCACATAAGTTGATCAAGTTCATGCACTTAATAAAACAAGTAGAAGAAATAATCTGGAATTAAAATCATAGAATTGGGTTCATAAATCCCACATAGGGTTCCAAATAAAATCCTAGAAATAAAAACTTAGCTACTCGTAGTTCTTATGATAAAGAAAATAAAATAAATAAATTAAATAAGAAAAACTATGCTTGAATCTTCGTTGATCTTCTTTGCTCTTGAATTTGCGTCAAAAGATGGATCCCCCAATTGTGTGCTTGACTTGGTCTTATATAGGGTGGAAAACTTGGGCAAGAAGGTAGTTTCCTTGTGCAATTAGGATTCCTTTACTGCGCTTTTTCATCATCTCGGACGGTCCACAATTTGAACTAAAACTCGGAGGGCCGTCCCAAAATCAGAGGTGGCTTCTGCTTCTCAAACGGCCGTCCCAGTTTTAAGTGTAAATCTGGGATGGCCGTCCCATGCCAATTTCTTCAGATTTTTTATTTTTTCACTTTTGGCCCATATTTTCTCCAAAATTGCAGTTTTGACCCCATACTTTTTCAATTCTTCAATTTGTACCTGAAATACAATAAATCAACTTTTTAAGCACCAATTATCGTTAAAACACACCAAAAGCTCAAATAAAAAGGTACGATAAAGTGTAAAAATAAACCTGGACAAACGATCATTTTGAAGGAAAAATGGAAAATGAGTTAAAATCTAATTTTAATAGAACTCGCAATTCCACAAATAACACAACTGACGGAATCCTCATCTAATGTTTCATTGGATTGATATGAATTTTTTAAAACTTTCCTAAAATAGCAAAATTTCATTTTTAAGAGACTCAACGATGCCGGATTACCGAAACCTGACGTGATTCATGAGCTAAGCTCATAAGTTTTGTTCGTCGGTCTGTTTTGCTTGAGATATGGTTTTTAATCTGCTATTTAAACACAAAAACCTTAATAAATCTAGAAAAAAACGATCATTTTGCAGAAAAAGTAGAAAATAAGTTTAAAAAAACCTAATTATAATATAACTCGCCATTCTAGAAACAACACAACTGACAAAATCCTCATCTAATGTTTCAATGAATTGATATGAATTTTCTAAAACTTTCCTAAAATAGCAAAATTAAAATTTTAAGAGATGAAAGGACGCCAGATCACCAAAACCTGAGAGCAAAGCTCATGAGTTTTGTAAGTCGGTCTGTTTTGCTTGGGATGAGATTTTTCATGTGCTATTAAAACTCAAAGACCCATTAATAAACCTGTAAAAACGATTATTTTGAAGGAAAAATAAAGAAAAAAGTATTTAAAACCTAATTTTAATAGAACTGGCAATTTCAGAAGTGACATAATCCTTATATGATGTTTCAACGAATTGATGTTAATTTTCTAAAATTTTCCCAAAATAGCAAAATTTCATTTTTAAGTGTCAAAAAGACGTCAAGTCACCGAAATCTGATTTTATTCACGAGCAAGCTCATGAGTATTGCTCGGCTGACTGTTTCTATAGGGGTGAATTTTTTTAATTACTATTAAAACTCAAAAAAACCTTAATAAAATCTGAAAAAAACGATCATTTTGATGGAAAAATAGAAAATAATTTAAAACCTAGTTTAAATAGAACTCGCAGTTCCAGAAACAACACAACTGACGGAATCCTTATCTGATATTTCAATGAATTGATATGAATTTTCAAAAACTTTCCTAAAATAGCAAAATTTCATTTTTAAGCGGCGAAACGTCGTCGGATCACCGAAACCTGATGTGATTCATGAGCAAGCTCATGAGTGTTGTAGGTTTGGCTATTTTTATAGAAGTAGAGTTTTTTAATTGCTATTAAAACCCAAAAAATAAACGTTAATAAAACTGAAAAAAAAAACGATCATTTGGAAAGAACACTAGAAAATGAGTCAAAACCTAATTTTAATAGAACTCGTAAATCCAGAAAAAATGCAACTAACGGAGTCCTCATCTGATGTTTCAATGAATTGATATGAATTTTCTAAAACTTTCCTAAAATAGCAAAATTTCATTTTTAAGGGGCGAAACGACGTCGGATCACCGAAACTAAACGTGACTCATGAGCGTAGCTCATGAGATTTGTTCGTCGGTTTGTTTTTCTTTGGATGGTGATTTTAACATGCTATTCAAATTCAAAATACCTTAATAAACTTGGAAAACGGTTGTTTTGCTGAAAAAATAGAAAATGAGTTAAAACCTAATTTTAATAGAACTCCCAATTACATAAACAACGTAACTGACAGAATCCTCATATAATGGTTCAATGAACTGATATGAATTTTCTAAAACTTTCCTAAAATAGCAAAATTTCATTTTTCAGAGACGAAACGACGTCGGATCGCCGAAACCTGACGTGATTCACGAGCTTTGCTCATGAGTTTTGTTCGTAGGTCTGTTTTGCTTAAGATGATATTTTTAACGTGCTATTCAAACTCAAAAAACTTTAATAAACCTGAAAAAATGATCATTTTGCAGAAAAAATAGAAAATGAGTTAAAATCTTATTATTATAGATCTTTCAATTTAAGAAACAACGCAACTGACGGAATCCTCATCTGATATTTCAATGAATTGATATGAATTTTCTAAAACTCTCATAAAATAGCAAAATTTCATTTTTAAGTGTCAAAAAGACGTCAGGTCACCGAAATCTGATGTGATTCACGAGCTACCTCATGAGTATTGTTCGTTTGTCTGTTTTTATAGGGGTAGAGTTTTTTAATTCCTATTCAAACTCAAAAATCTTACTAAACATGGAAAAACGATCATTTTGAAGGAAAAAAATAGAAAACGAATTAAAACATAATTTTAATAGTACTCGCAATTCCAATAACTCAACTGAGGGAATTCTCATATGATGTTTCATTGAATTGAAATGAATTTTCTAAAACTTTCCTAAAATAGAAGATTTTCATTTTTAAGTGGCGAAACGACGTTGGATCAACGAAACCTGACGTGATTCGTGAGCATAGTTCATGATTTTTGTTCGGCAGTCTATTTTTGCTTTGGATAAGGATTTTCGCTAATATAATATAGTGTAACCCCCTTTTGATAATATGTGCCTTTTGATAATATGTGCCATTTTTGCTAATATAATATAGTGTTATTGATAAAGGCACATATTATCAAAATGACACATATTATATTAGCAAAAAGGGCACATATTATCAAAAGGGCACATATTATATTAGTAAAAATGACATATATTATCAAAATGGCACATATTATATTAACAAAAAGGGCACATATTATCAAAAGGCACATATTATCAAAAGAGGGTCCCACTATATTATATTAGCAAAAAAGGCACATTACATTAACAATGTCCTACGTTAAACCACCTGAATCAGATCAAATTATCAAATTAATGAAACCTCAAAGTTAAGTAAAATTATAATTTTATAAGCCTAATATATAATTAAATTAAATTTTATTAATGATGCTACTTCTTGTTCTTTTGCATATTTTGTTCCTTCCGTTTCTTGTCAGCGGCTCCACGGGAACCGCCACTGCCACCCGAAGAGCGGATTGCCAAAACAGTCTTCAAACGGCATTGTTTTGTGATAATTATATTCTTCTTTATCAATAAAAGTGCCCCGCACTTACAATCATACACTCTGGTATGATTCCGGCTAGCTTTCTTTTTGTTCTTATCGAATCTGGGAGTTTCGCACATTTCTGGATGAAATACACTGTAATGAGCGTGAAAAAGGTCCGGACTGTTATAATACCAACTTGACACGGCCACGGGCCGGTTCGGGCCGGTTCGGACCGGTTCACGGTTCACATTTTCCGGAACCGGAACCGGCCCGTAGCGTGCACAGTTCACCGGGCCGGTTCACGGGCCTATCCGGGCCGGTACCGGGTCAGCCTGGAAATTTTGAATTTTTTTTTTTTTGTTTTTTTTGTTTTTTTTTTTTGAAATATTTAATGAATAAGTAAATTAAAAGAAATACTTTTAAATAGATAAAGGAAAAGGAAATAAATTAAAAGTCAATTTAGAAGCACAAGTTTGAAATATTTGATGAATAAGTAAATTATAGGAAAAATTGGGGTGTGACGGTATTTATAGGAAAAATTGGGGGGGTTTGGGGGCAAAAAAAATTCAAAAAAAAACAAAATTGGGGGGTGAGGGTATTTATAGGAAAAATTGGGGGGGGGGGGGAATTCAAAAAAGTTCCAAAAAAAGTAAATAACGGCCGGTTAACCCGGGCCGGTTCGGGCCGGTTCACTAGCCCTTATTTGCTTTTTTTTTGAATTTTTTTGAATATATATATATTTTTTTTTTAAATCCGGGTGAATCGCCGGGCCGGCCCGGCAGTTCACGGTTCACCAAATCTAAGAACCGGGCCCGTCCCGGGTAGGACGGATCGGTTCACGGTTCCGTGCCGGTTCACACGGTCAACGGGCCGGTTTGGGCCGTCAACGGGCCGGTTCCGAGCCCAAAACCGGCCCGTGGCCGTGTCTAATACCAACCTCTAGATGGACCAAGTTTATTTGCATCGTATTGGTGACACGGCCTACAATGATAATTCCCACGATTCTCTCCACCTGTACTGTTAAGACGTAGAAAAAAGCAAAATAAATTCTGAACCAACAAAAATGAAATAAAAAATATGAAGTTACAAACCCTAGAGATATACTCACGCGTCATTGCAGCAGTAGGTGCCGGTGCCAACGGGGCCACCGATTTCGCCGGCGCCGCCAGTGCCGACTGTACCATTCCCACGGCCGTCGCTAGCCTGTTCAAAGCCACAATAGCGAGTCTTAAACTGCTGAACATATTAAAGCAACTTATAGAGAGAGAAGAGATGGGATAGAGAGAGAAATTATGCAAGCTGTGTGTAATAGATAGTGAGTATATGTAGACAAATTCAGCACGTGACTTGCACGTGCTGAGTTTTTGCATTTAAAAAAAAACAAATACGGCAACAAAATATTAAATACGTAAAAAAGATTAAATACGTATATTAGTTTCTTGATAAAATGTTAAAATCTAGTTTTCCTATAGCCCCCAACCTATTGCCCGTTGTACCTTACCCCCTGAACTATTGGCCCTGGAACGCAGCGCTGACGTCATATAGCACGGGGGACGAGTTACGATGGACCATGGAGATAAAAAAAAATTATTTTTCAAAGCGTTTTGGCACTTATTTTCGTTTCATACTGGGAAAATATATTTTATTGAAAAAAATTGTGAATAAAACTAATGTTTGTTTATAATTATGATAAGTAAAATTACACTATAGTAATATTAAATCATGTTTAAAGATATCGAAAAAATGTATTTACAAAAAATATTTTTACTATAACATTCACACATTTTTAATGTAGTAATAGTTAAATTATGTTTGTAAAATAAAGAAACATCTGAAATTATTTTGAAGAATCTTTTTGACAACATCAACATTCACGAATTCGTGTTGATTAAACAATTACAAAGGCAATAAAACTGCTTCCAAACATTCACAATCCAAAGATCGTGGTACATAAAATCGTGCAAAACAGGAATGCTCAATGTAGACATATAGTACGCACTAAAAATGGTAATAGAAATATCATTGTGCTAAAATTTGAGTTCATCAAAATGAGTTTTCAAGAAAATAAATATATTGGCCGTCCAATTAACATAACAATGAGCTCCTCATAAGAGAGTGTTGTTAAGGAAATAAATTAATATTATTTAAATATTAATTATTCCATAATTACAATTGATTGACACCCATGATAAAGTGTAACCCCCTTTTGATAATATGTGCCTTTTGATAATATGTGCCATTTTTGCTAATATAATATAGTGTTATTAATAAAGGCACATATTATCAAAATGACACATATTATATTAGCAAAAAAGGCACATATTATCAAAAGGGCACATATTATATTAGTAAAAATGACATATATTATCAAAAGGGCACATATTATATTAACAAAAAGGGCACATATTATCAAAAGGCACATATTATCAAAAGAGGGTCCCACTATATTATATTAGCAAAAAAGGCACATTACATTAACAATGTCCTACGTTAAACCACCTGAATCAGATAAAATTATCAAATTAATGAAACCTCAAAGTTAAGTAAAATTATAATTTTATAAGCCTAATCTATAAATAAATTAAATTTTATTAATGATACTACTTCTTGTTCTTTTGCTTATTTTGTTCCTTCTGTTTCTTGTCAGCGGCTCAACGGGAACCGCCACTGCCACCCGAAGAGCGGATTGCCAAAACAGTCTTCAAACGGCATTGTTTTGTGATAATTATATTCTTCTTTATCAATAAACAGTGCTCCGCACTTACAATCATACACTCTGGTATGATTCCGGCTAGCTTTCTTTTTGTTCTTATCGAATCTGGGAGTTTCGCACATTTCTGGATGAAATACACTGTAATGAGCGTGAAAAAGGTCCGGACTGTTATAATACCAACCTCTAGACGGACCAAGTTTATTTGCATCGTATTGGTGACACGGCCTACAATGATAATTCCCACGATTCTCTCCACCTGTACTGTTAAGACGTAGAAAAAAACAAAATAAATTCTGAACCAACAAAAATGAAATAAAAAATATGAAGTTACAAACCCTAGAGATATACTCACGCGTCATTGCAGCAGTAGGTGCCGGTGCCAACGGGGCCACCGATTTCGCCGGCGCCGCCAGTGCCGACTGTACCATTCCCACGGCCGTCGCTAGCCTGTTCAATGCAACAGCAGCGAGTCTTAACCTGCTGAACATATTAAAGCAATTTATAGAGAGAGAAGAGATGGGATAGAGAGAGAAATTATGCAAGCTGTGTGTAATAGATAGTGAGTATATGTAGACAAATTCAGCACGTGACTTGCACGTGCTGAGTTTTTGCATTTAAAAAAAAACAAATACGGCAACAAAATATTAAATACATAAAAAAGATTAAATACGTAAAAAAGATTAAATACGTATATTTGTTTCCTGATAAAATGTTAAAATCTAGTTTTCCTATAGCCCCCAACTTATTGCCCGTTGTGCCTTACCCCCTGAACTATTGGACCTGGAACGCAGCGCTGACGTCATATAGCACGGGGGACGAGTTACGATGGACCATGGAGATAAAAAAAAATTATTTTTCAAAGCGTTTTGGCACTTATTTTCATTTCATATTGGGAAAATATATTTTATTGAAAAAAATTGTGAATAAAACTAATGTTTGTTTATAATTATGATAAGTAAAATTACACTATAGTAATATTAAATCATGTTTAAATATATCGAAAAAGTGTATGTACAAAAAATATTTTTACTATAACATTCACACATTTTTAATGTAGTAATAGTTAAATCATGTTTGTAAAATAAAGAAACATCTGAAATTATTTTGAAGAATCTTTTTGACAACATCAACATTCACGAATTCGTATTAATTAAACAATTACAAAGGCAATAAAACTGCTTCCAAACATTCACAATCCAAAGATCGTGGTACATAAAATCGTGCAAAACAGGAATGCTCAATGTAGACATATAGTACGCACTAAAAATGGTAATAGAAATATCATTGTGCTAAAATTTGAGTTCATCAAAATGAGTTTTCAAGAAAATAAATATATTGGCCGTCCAATTAACATAACAATGAGCTCCTCATAAGAGAGTGTTGTTAAGGAAATAAATTAATATTATTTAAATATTAATTATTCCATAATTACAATTGATTGACACCCATGATAAAGTGTAACCCCCTTTTGATAATATGTGCCTTTTGATAATATGTGCCATTTTTGCTAATATAATATAGTGTTATTAATAAAGGCACATATTATCAAAATGACACATATTATATTAGCAAAAAAGGCACATATTATCAAAAGGGCACATATTATATTAGTAAAAATGACATATATTATCAAAAGGGCACATATTATATTAACAAAAAGGGCACATATTATCAAAAGGCACATATTATCAAAAGAGGGTCCCACTATATTATATTAGCAAAAAAGGCACATTACATTAACAATGTCCTACGTTAAACCACCTGAATCAGATAAAATTATCAAATTAATGAAACCTCAAAGTTAAGTAAAATTATAATTTTATAAGCCTAATATATAATTGAATTAAATTTTATTAATGATGCTACTTCTTGTTCTTTTGCATATTTTGTTCCTTCCGTTTCTTGTCAGCGGCTCCACGGGAACCGCCACTGCCACCCGAAGAGCGGATTGCCAAAACAGTCTTCAAACGGCATTGTTTTGTGATAATTATATTCTTCTTTATCAATAAACAGTGCTCCGCACTTACAATCATACACTCTGGTATGATTCCGGCTAGCTTTCTTTTTGTTCTTATCGAATCTGGGAGTTTCGCACATTTCTGGATGAAATACACTGTAATGAGCGTGAAAAAGGTCCGGACTGTTATAATACCAACCTCTAGACGGACCAAGTTTATTTGCATCGTATTGGTGACACGGCCTACAATGATAATTCCCACGATTCTCTCCACCTGTACTGTTAAGACGTAGAAAAAAACAAAATAAATTCTGAACCAACAAAAATGAAATAAAAAATATGAAGTTACAAACCC